GTACACCTTATCATACATCAATTCTACACATGTTGTGAAAATTTCAGACCAAGGTCATTCAAGGTCAGGTCACCAGGTCACTTGAAGTGACCTCACCTCATAAAAAGTTTCAATGTCTGTCATAGCTACACCGAGTGACCGATCGCTTTGAAACTTTCAGCGATTGCTAAGAGCAATAGCATGTACAAAATGTATATCTCAGAATTTTGATATCGATGACCTAAGGCCAGGTCAATTTTGCGACCTCCCCATTATAAGTCAATGGGAGAAAATTGAAATGCGCCTCTTTTGGATGAAAGACATTATAAACACTCCCAAACACCGAATTACAAGTGGTTTAGACACACTGAACATGAAAATGGTGTCCGTGACCCTTGTTTATGCCCTGAGGTCATCTTAGGTCACGAATGGTATCCAACAGTTTTTCGCAAATAACTTTTGATAGAGGCATGCTAGAGCGATGAAAACGCCTTAGATGTGTTCAGCTCGACGATACGGATCGACTGATATGCAACATGACCCTTTCCAGTCAGGTCATGACCTTGACCTGAGGTCAAATTTTCAAGTTGACCTTTCAAGGTCAAGTTATAGTTCATTCGATGCGTCTTGACGAGAGGAACACGATGCCGGTAAAAGTAAGCTCGTACAGGGCTTGGGTCAAAAGTTATTGCAGAAAAACTGTTTCCGAAAAAATCGGCTATTTTTGCAGTTTTTGCCCCCTGCAGGCAAAACCGTTGACGCTAGGTCAAATCTGAGAGAAATATTCAGAAAGGGCGTTAATAGGGCTATCGAATGCGCTTTTCCGCGGCGCTGTAGCTCTATTGGTTCCCGAGTTATGCGTTGGCTTCTTGGAAATTTTCGCCATTCGACCTGGAAATCGGCGAAATTTTGCCTTCAATGACCTCTGGTGACCTGACCTTTGACCTGACCAAAAAATTGACCGAAGTGATTTCGTCATTATTTTTGACGCTCTTTCGAACGCCGCCTTCCGCGTATCGCTACGTGGCCCAGGAGCCGAGTTACAAGGGGGGGTGTTCAAACACCCCCCCCCCCAGCAGGGCGTGGAAATCCAGGACCCCCAGCCGGGCGCGGGTTAACCCGCGCCCCACTGGGGGGGGGCTATTTATAGCCCCCCTCCCGTTTTTCTGCAATAACTTCCAAACCGCTTGGCGGATCGACGCCAAACTTACAGTACCTTCGGCTGCATCAATTTGACACCTTGTGTCAAAATTTGAACTTCGTAGCTACCATAGGTCGGCTGGAAATGACGTCAGAGTGACGTCATGTTCGTCTGATTTCGACGCAAAACATTGAACCACGGCAATCGCTCCCAAGAGCTCAGTTTTTAAGCTAGATCCAATTTCTTTGCATGAAAGGACTCAGAATTGACCGCGCTATCAAACTGCTATCTCGAATTTTCAAAATTTTGAAAATTTCGAAAATCTGATATAATAATATTCAAAATTTGTATTTTTATACTTTTTTCAAAAAGTTTTTGACTTTTCGAAAAAACCGGAATATATGTGACAGAACGCAAGATTATGACTAACTCTAGCAAGTTTTAGCTAAATATCTTCAAAAATGGCCAAGTTATACGCATTATTGCAAAAAATTCACAATTATTAATTTTTCAAATCAATTTTTCAGTACGTATTTGACATCGTACGCCAATATTAATGGCACCATCGTGTTCCTGAGCTCAAACTGCATCCAATAGATACCTTTTTTGTTGAAAAATTTTAACTTCAAAATTTGACCTTTTTTGACCTGAAAGTGACCTGACCTAAGCTAAATTTGACTCAAAATGACCTCGAATGACACAGACGACATCAAATTCGAAATCTATGACCTAAATGGACCATAAAACATGTGTCACGTGACCGACGCATGATAAAATATTTTCGTGACCTGTGATGACCTGACCTTGACCTGAAAATCAAAGTAAAAGCTTGGTACCCTCAGGGTATCTAGAGCATCTGTTTAAGAGTGTGTGTACCAAAAATGAGCCTGATCTGACTTGTAAGACGGCGGCCAGTGCCCAAAATGTGAACAAGCCAAAATGCTAATAATTTTTACTTTGACCTGACCTGTGACGTCATCGGTGACCTCGAGGTCAATGAAATTAGGTTTCGCTCGACAGTTTTTCCGGGGCTATCAGACGCCGTTTGAATTTTGACGATCGGCCCAGTAGTTTCGGAGTTGTGAGGGGGGGCTATGAATAGCCCCCCCCCCCCCCAGTAGGGCGTGTTATGCACAGACCCCAGTGGGGCGCGGGTTAACATGGGGTTTGAGTTGAGATAGCCAAGTTTGCGGCGAGGTTCAGAAACCACTATCTATCTAGGTTACAACCCCCGCGGCCTCTTGGTGTTGAAGAAATTCGTTCCCTTCATTTGAAAATGGGCCTTGTACAAGGCCCTATCTTCAACGTGGAGCGACCGTTAGTGTGACGTCACCTCGTTTAGTCATTCTGATTTAAATGGGTTTGTTCGTTGAAAAATCGCTTAAAACTTGGTCTGAACTTTGTTGTGGTGCCTACAGAGTAAAAAGAATCAGCTTTATGACAGTAATGTGGCCTGGGGAAGGAAGTAATTTTGGGCTGTGACGTCACATATTTGAAAGTTTGTGTTTGGAATATGGGAAGCCTAAGATTTTTAATAAAAAATAAATGCCAGAACCGTGTTCCTGGTCATCCAATCTAAAAATTCGGGCACAATTTAACTGGTTTTAACAACATTTTAGAAGGTGGGATAGTCCCTTTAATATTGGAGGTAAACGCCAAACATAGCCGATAGTTGGACCGGCAGGTTTCTTCCAAAATGCAGTTACCATTTCGAGGTGAAGGGGGAACTCCATGGACTCATAACTCACGCACTGACTCGTGGTCAAACGTGACTCGTGGTCAAACGTGACGTGTTTCTCACTTCGTGTGACGCCTAACAGCTTTCCTTGTAATGCTGAGAAAGTATGTCAGTGTCTCAAAAAGCATTCTTACGGGCTGTTAAAGCTTAATGCGTTTGTTGTAACATGCACAAGGCACAGTGAAAGCTCGAAGGTTGCTTGCCAGCAACAATTTTTTGCATGGTTTGCATTAAATGCATAATTATTAATTTCTTTAGTATTTTCCCTTTATAAGAAGTTAAGTGTGCTTTGTTCCGACTTAACGTTTGATACAAGCGTAAATAATTAAAGACTTGTACTAATATTGTACAAATCGTAATATTGTAACTGTACAAATTCGGCCATTGTTTTTAGCCTGTGGATGCCGAGGTCATCGGAAACCGAGTGTAAAAAGTGTTTTTCGTGACGGTAATGCAACAGTTATACTATAATAGCTGGTATATTTCATCAGCGCATAAGCCTATTAATTGCACTTGAATCACGACCTTTGACAGAAGATTTCGTTGAAGAGGAACGAAGCAGCTCGAATGCATGTAAAACAGACGTCATCAATGTCCTTACGGTAAATGGCTACTTTCACATGGCGTGCCGTGTCTGGTGCGCATGCACTGTTTAGTACTGATGGGCCGATTTTATTCGCCTCGTTTCAGTCGCTTAAAGTTTCCATTTTTCAGACTTTTTTTGCTTCCTAAAAAGGTGTTCAAACGCCGTTAAGCGGCGTCAGCCGGCGTTACGTGCCGTTTTTCTGTCGTAGCCGGGACGATGACGTTCGGAAGGCGTCATCACATTCCAGCGGATCACGCAAGGAGTTCTACAGGGTCACGGCGTCGCTCCGTCGCCCTTCCCTCATTTCACCAACACCGCGTCAGTTTTTACCCGTACGCCGTCCCGAAATACCATCGTTTGCACCAATATACATCTCCATGGAGCGTGGCGTTTGGTATTTTTAACCTCGCTTGGCAGCGGAACTGTTTGATTTCGGAACGCAGACTGTTGCTTGAAACGTCTGTCAAGCGGAACTCTGCACCGACGGCTCGCTGACGCTGACGCATGTTTGGTGAGCTACTCCATGGATGAGCTCTGCAGGTGCAAATCTCTCTCCTGTTTAATTCTCTTCGCTATTGGTTTCTGATGGTGGCAGCAGGAGAGGATCAGAGGGTGGTGTGTGTTTGGGGGGTGGGGGGGGGGGTAATAGCGGAGTGATGTAGTGGGTGTCATAAGGGTGTTGGTGGTGCAATGGTTGAAAGGGCAATGGCTCTTGACATGCGTACCTGTCAGCTATTTCGTCTTAAGCCTTTGATGTATTCTGACAAGCCATAGTTCCGGGTGAGATGCCATGTCTTACCATTTTGCAACTACTTTGAGACACTGCTACCGGCTTGGGCAACTGCTTTCGGATTGGACTCGGTAGTCTTCTGCACTGGATTTCGTGTTGATGGCGCCTGTGGAGATTAGACTCTAGACCTGCAGCGTTCTCCGCCTGCGCCGGAGACCAGGCGGCTGCGGTGACTGGTGAGTCGTCCACGGGTCCCAGGGGTCATCAGTCGTCGTTCAGGTGCGTCTTCTCTCACGGCTCGGGCGGAAATCCATATTGTCGGAGCCTGACGTCCATTAGCTACACAGGACTGCCATTTGTTGCCCGGACTGTGGTGCACTACGATGCCGAGCGCATACGCGTCATTGATTCATGCCTTCCCACATCTCCCAAGGTTGTGGAGGTCTCTTGAGAATCTCGCCTGATCTTTGGATCACCATCACATCGCATATACTCTGGGACTTTGTGCTTTTAGCGTAGTCTAAGACTCTAATGCACTGCTGTTACTTGTGTGCTGTTTTTGAGTCTTATGGCTCGGGCGTTCGCAAGAAATGTCTTAAAGTTGAAACTATTCATAGGATGTAAGATAATGCGCTTGTGTCTCTTTTTTATTGAAACGGTGCTAGTCCGGTAATTGAATCGGAACCGTGCGAAATCGGATTTAACTTCAGATTTAGCTCGAGATATTGGGTTTGCTGTATTGGGTACGCTGATAGAAGGCGCGCAGAATAGCTGGTGTGACGGGGGTTTCTTCGTGCCTGGGCTTTACATCATGCTCGGTTTACAGGGTGAGCGAAATCCACTTTTTGTTATCTGTAATGTAATATGGGCTTGTTCGGGACGTCGAGGCGGAAATAATTTTCTCGATTATGATCTCTGAAGCGTTATGCAGAAAGCGCGACCCAATAGCGAGAAGTCTGCAATATCATCCTTAGCAGGTATTCACCTGAACGGCCACTGACACCTTTCTGTGGTGAAGTGTCAGTCCATAGACCCGCTATGTTACTAATAGCTCACCGCTCCTGCCGGGTGTCAATGCTGCCGCCACATCCTGCTCTATTGTCGTAACGGAACGACTTATCCCGGTGATATTGATAGGCTAGATTATTGTTAGTGGGTACCGAAGGAAGCTGCGGCTTCCGCCGGTGGTGGGATGGCTGCTGGGTGCTAATGGGGATGGTGAGCTGTGGAGTAGACATGTGGCCTGGTGTGCCAACCGGGAGTCTGCTGTGATACAGCTTGGGAAGTGCTGACGAGATAGCACGAAAACCGTGGAGATGTCAGCGAAATATAATTTTGTTCGACGCGTTGCTCAAGTAATCCGTCAGGGATGAGTTTTCACCGATTCCACTTGTCACCGACAAACGCTTTGTGTGGCAACAAAACGATTATTTGCGACATATATTGCACATGTTATTGCCCAAGCCGCCTGGCGATGGCCGTTGTTCACACGACCGAGACATATTTGTCATCTTTCCGCTGGATGTATTCATCCATCGGTCGACTAGGTATGTATTTTTGGGGCTGTCTCTGTGTGAGACTGGCAGCTAGGTGCTATCGAGCTAGCCATCGGAATATGAATTGAATCCCGCCAGGATCTGTCCGGACTGAATGTTCCGGTCTAAATAAATCCATTTCCTATCCCATCTCACTCTGAATCTCCGATCGGAGCTACGAGCTCCCTGCATGTATGGGATTTGAGTCTCGCACATTCCCTTTGCTTTTATGGCTTTCTGCTGCCAGGCTGAATTTAGCTGCGTCAGCTGTGTAAAAATCAATCATGAACACATTTTTACCCGTAAAGATGTGTTACACATCACTCCATCTAAAAATACAGAACCTCATACAAAATGCATTTGCAATGTTATACTACATTGTTGTAAATCACTCGCCTAACCTTTTACCGTTTCGTGCTCCATAATCCATGATCGGTGCCGCTCTTTCTGCGCCTGGCAGTGATACACTGCTGGTCGCTCGGCCGCGGACAGGGCCATATTTCAGCTCCCGGGGCCTGTATTGTTGCCGCCCGCCCCGCCTGTTTTGGTGTTGGAGCGCTTTGAGAGTGGGGATTCTGTGAGAGTTTAGCGCCTGACAGCTTTGTTCTTCTATGTAAGAGATTTGAAGAGATGCCTTTGTGGCCTTGCGGGCAATGTGTGGAACTATGTCATCCGAATGCCATACTCAACAAGGCTCCAGACAAATACGGGCACTGTCATTGATGAGTTTCTGTGTTGTCATAAATTAGGCTCGCTCCCCAACTTTTTCTTCGTTCATGTTCACTGGGATCTAACTTTGGTTTTATTTTTCTGGTCGTCTCCAATTCGCTGATTTGCTGGTGAGCCGTTTCATCTGAGTCATTGTGAATTCAGTGGCGGACCCTTTCTATAACGACGGTCGTATTTTGGAGTTAAGGAAACGATCTTGATTGGAAAATGTGAATCGAGTTGTAAATCTGTACAAACGACGGTAATCCATTTCCCAGCTACAGACTATAAAAAGCCTTTTGCGCTATTTCCCACCTTTGCATTATATATCCTCATTTAGTTGTACTCTGCGTTACATGCAAATTTAGTAAGTGTTGACCGCCCGTCATGTGTAGGCCTTTTTCTGGTGCCAGTCAGTGCTCCAGTGTGAGTGTCAGGTGTCGGTCAAATGCCGGGCGTCTAACGTGACCCGGTGACCCCTACGTGCCCCGCCCCGCTGCTGCGGTCGTGCAGTGACCCGGTGAGGTGTGGTCGCGGGCGTCACATTACGGTGAGGTCGTGAGGTGACCCACCCGGTCACGGTCGGGGCGACCACAGGCCAGGACAGCTTGGAGTAGTAGCTCGGGAGCAGCTGCTCTGAATTTTGTGCAGCAGTTGAATCTAAATCTGTGCTCTGAGCAGTGAGCAGCTTGAAGCAGCGACTCTGGGGAGACAGCTCTGAGTAGCAGCACTGTGTGGCAGCTGAGGAGCTGCTCTGTGCCGCATCTCGCAGAGACTGTGAGCTGACTGTGTGACCCGCGATAGCTCGGTGAAGTGGCACCGATTGCCACCCCTCTCCAGGCTTAGGTCACCGATAAGCTGCTTCTCACCATGATATAATCGTGATGGCACCCGTTGATTCGAGCATACCAGGAGGTCAAAAGAAGTACCTATATTATTGTCATCAGCTGATTTATAGTAAATACTCAGTCGTCAGTCAGCGTTCTGACTTGCTCGCCTTTTGGTATTTTCGTAACGCTGCAATGCAGGAACACATGAAGAAATTCCCTATTTCCCTTGGCTAGCCTGAAAGATAAGTAAGTATGTAATATTTTGTGGTACTCCCTCTTATGCTCCAATGTTCTTTATTGATTGCATTTCCAGCGTCTGATGCATTTCCCATCTCCACCTGGCGTTCGTGGTGCGTCCCGAGGGACCCGGCCCTATTGTCGGGTACCCCAGAGACGGAGGCCATTGGCACAAATTGCCGCCCAGGTGGAGGCCGCCAATGATTGCCGAACCGTCTGACGTCTCTGTGGTGATCCCACGGGAGCGCGCTGATGGAATGAAGTTGAGGTCGGATATCATCCGCTCAGCTGGGGCGCTGCTCACGGTGGTGTCGTGTGAGGTGATGACGGTGCGCCTCGAGCTGTTTTGTGGTGTCAAATATGAGACCGTGGCTGGAAAAAGACGTGTATTTCAGTCCGGTGTTTGTTTCAAATGCTGACTTCGCTGGTATGTCGGTGCCGAGTCAGCGCTTGGTATCGTGCCGGCATGGCTGTGGTTTGGGCGAACAACAAATATCCCCGTGGGAACAACCTACCTGAGGTCGCTTTTCTCCTGCCTTCCGATCAGCGTTTGGTTTTCGTCCCATTAGCCTTCCCAGCCCTGGTCAGTCCGGCGGGGGTTGAGAGGGGGCGGGGGCGGGCGCAGCTGTGCCCTGGCGTATCGACCGTCCGGTCCGCGACCTAGACCGCGACCTTCCTGGTCCCGGCCCGGCCCGGCCTGGCTCAGTCGGACCGGCACCATCGGTGGGCCGCCGCGCCGCCGGCCGGTCGTCGGTCAGAGCCGGCTGACCCACCGCTGCAGTCGGTACGTGGGGGCGCCGCGGGGCGTCGATACACCGGGCCTCGGCAGCCGCGGAGACATCGGCGGCCGGAGGTAACGCGTTGGGACTCGAGCTACATTTGAGGAAGGTGGAGATTGTTGTGGTCGGGCGAGGATCAGCTGATCCGAACTGCGTCCCCTACGTCGTGACTCGATCCCCGTGACTCTTCTCCCGCGAGTCGTGACTCGGCGAGTGACCAGTGACGCGCTACTTTTCAAGTGCACGCTGAGGCGACCTTGGCTGCGCAGAGAAGGGGTGGAGTCTGCGAGTCGCCTGCTTCCCCTGCCGGCGCCGGCCGGAGCTGCCGCGGCACCCCGCTCCCAGCCCTGTCACGTGCCCCGGCGGCCGCTCAGCTGAAGGACGCGTAGGACCGGTCGCCGCCGCCGCCGCGCCGCGCCGCGCCGCGCCGCATTCGCCGGGCGGCGGTGCTCGGCGCACTATCTCCGTACCGCCGTGCCGACCGGTCTGTGGTGTGCTCGTGCCGTTATCAGTGAACAATTGCATTGGAGAACGATACAGACACCGCTAGTCTTTACGAGCGATATCGTGGTCTGTGAGGCGTTGTAAATCGGTGCGGGAGGCGCGGAGATTCGGGACAGCGGACCTGTTTATGGCCAGGATTACGCGACAGTGAGTGCTGCGCGGAGGAGGCGGTGCGGTGTCAGTGCTGGGGTCGCGGCCGCCGGCTGCGAGTGACGCGCCGGGGAAGTGCGACAGGGTGCTGGGGGTGGTGGGAGTGTCATCACTGGTGAGTTGATCAGATGAGTGCGGCCATGGCGGCCCTATTCCGACGGAAAAAGCACCTGGACGTGAGTGGTGCGCCGCAGAAGAAGGGTCGCAGCCAGTCGCTGGACCCTACGTCGCTGGCGTACCTCAGTCTGAAACAGGCGGGCGGCTCGTCGGATAAGAAGGGTCAGACGATCGATCGGCTTACAGTGCCGGAGGTGACGGAGACCCCGCCGACCAACAGCAGCCCGAGCAGCTCACCCAGCCACGGCCACAGCCCGAACCGGCGCGCCTCGGACCTGTTCGAGGGCGGCCTGCGCCAGTTCCAGCAGCTCTACAAACGGCGCGGCTCGCGCGAACCTCCCGAAACCGAGGAGTCCAGCTCGAAGACGCTGCAGGTGCCGAAGCCGCGCCAGCGCAGCGGCTCGGTGGACGTGGGCCGGCTGACGGTGAGCTCGGCGAGGCGCGGCTCCACCGAGGGCAGCCGCTCGCTGCCGCAGCAGGGCCGGCGCGGCTCCGTGGACCCCGGCCTGAGACTCTACACCGCGCTGCGTCCCAACGTCAACGGCGTGCGCCGGGGATCGGTGGACGCCAACGTCAAACAGTTCCAGGCCGTCTACCAGCAGCGCAAGGCGCTCAAGTCGGAGCAGGCGGCGCTGTACGCGGCCGGCAGCGGCTCCACCAGCCCCGTGCCGGTCAGCATCCCCGAGTCGCCCGAGATCACCTCTCGCTATCACAAACCGAAGCCGGGCTCGGCGGCGGCGGCCGCGGCGGAGGCGGCCGCGGCCGAACTGGACGCTGCTCAGCGCGAGATGGTAAGACTGGACGGCGGCCGCGCTGTCAGAACGGCACAGCCGAGTGGGCGGATTAACCCTGGCTCCGGCCGACCAACCGGTTCGGATAATAATGATACCCGAGAGCTGGCCAACAGCCGGCCGCCTGGGAAGTTAGCCGACTCTGATGAGCTGTTATCGGTGCTCAGACAGCCATCAAAG